AGGGTTTGCCATTTTCAATTTGAGCTTGTGCAGGTTTATTTCCTTAGGCTTATTCAAGAGCATTTAAGGCAAGCTAGACATTGGAGAAGGTCAAGTGAAGTTCAAGCAAGCTCCCAGACATCTCAGGCCTTGTTGAAAAGCTACACATTGCCATACACGAAGTCAGCTGAAACAGGTTTTTATCAACTTCCTATCTCTCTATTTAGGAACATTTAGACTTAGGTTTATGAATAAGAAATGTAGTATTCATTGTCATGAAGCTGTACATATGCTCAGGTTTCATTTTTATTAAGCGTGCTAAGAGAATTTGGTCCATGAACATCCTGAAAAAATTAGGTTACATTTTAGGGTCACAGAAATTCTCTCTGGTCTTTGAGAGTTAGGACAAGTTTTTTATATGATTGGATTCGTCTTAAAAAGCTCTACAACTTTGATGTTATGTGTTTTTGCAATAGAGCTCGTATGCAGGATCTAGCAACTGTACAGGGCGCGCGCGAAATTTGAAGTCAGAGGTTGAAGATGAAGTGGCTTGGGCTGGGCTTTGGTCCTCTCACTATTTGCACCCCCCTTTTGTTGAATACACCCCTGGCCCATTTCTTCATATTTTTATGTTTTGTCATTTTATTTTCATTTCTGATTTTATTTTATTATTTCCAAACATAAAAAATATCCAAAAAAATATTTTATAATTTTTTACATTTATTTTTCATTTTATTTCTATTTTTTCTAACATAAAAAACAGTTTAATTAATATATATTTCTATTTATTGAAAACTTGAAAATAATATAATTATACCTTTTATTTTTATTCTTTCATTTACACTCAAATATATTATTCTAAATATTTTTTTTATCTTGTATATATTTTATTTTATTTTTTGTACATGATTAATATATATATATATATATATATATATATATATATATATATATATATATATATATATATATATATATATATATATATATATATATATATATATATATATATATATATATATATATATATATATATATATATATATATATATATATATATATATATATATATATATATATATATATATATATATACACTTTTTATTTTATTAGATACTTGAAAATAAAAACATAAAAAATACTATACTTTTTATTATTATTATTTATACTTAAAAAATACTTTTTTTCAAAATATATTTTATTTTTTTGTATATACACTATTTTATTTTATTGTATATAAATAATATAGTCAATATATTTACATTCTTAAAAATTAGGGTTTTACCCTTAATAAAAAAATAATAATAATCTTTTTTCATTTATTTCTTCCTTTTTTGCATTAAATATTTTTAAAATACATAAAAATAAACAAAAACCTTTTTGCATATTCATATTATTTTGTATATTTATTTAATTTGTTTATTTAAATATTGTTTCATTTATTATTTCTGCCATTTGATTCAATTTGGATGTAATAGTAAAATTAGGGTTTTAATTTCTTGTCAAATATATCCCCATTCAAAATTGTATCCCCCTCCCCATATGAATGTTGTAATAGTGTAGATTTATTTTACGCACTTTATACTGTCAAATATGCCATGATTAGAGATTAGGGTTTGTATGCAAAAATCCAAAAATCAACAAATAGCTTGACCTAATACAAAGACCTAAATGCATGAAAATCAATACACAATGCACACTTGCACCCCTAGGGTTACATCCACTTGTTGCCTTAAAAATGGGCCATGTTATGCATGTTGGGTACTTTGGCAAAACAAAAACAAAACAAAAGATAATAGTCCCTCGATGACGCTATCTTGGTTGCCTATACAAAATGATTTAGTCCCTCGGAAAATTTTCCAAAAATACTTAACACAATTTCTATCATGGTCTATACGATGACCCGCGCCTGTCCCATTTAATATCCTAATACAAGGTTGTTTACCAAATGCAATGGTAAAATAACACTGTCAAAAGGGTTAGAAATGTGTAGGAAATACCTTTGAGTAAAATAGGGTAGATAACTCTTAGTTACTTGATCAAAACTTGCAAAACATCCTTGATATTTTCAAACACACTTCACAACACAATTTCAAAATATTGCCCAAAACAAACTTTCAAACAGAGAAATATCTTTTCAAAAGACAAAAACACCTTTGTATACATTCAAACAAGAATCATTACAAAGGTCGCCACAACGATGGCCTATTTTAAAAACATCTTTCAAAACCACACACAAAGCACCATTTCAAACAATTGGAAAACAAAAGCAAGTGATCTAAACAAGTAACTAAGAGCCCATGGATAACCATGGATGAAAATGGTGCTTGCACCTTCCCTTTTCATAATCTACTCCCCGAATCCAAGAAAACATCTCAAATGTCTATCCTATGATTTTTGACCTTTCCTTAGGATAAAATAAAAAGTCGATGGCGACTCTTGCTAAACCGAAACATTTGCAAACACAAACGCAAAACCTCAAGTCAGTTCTCCCACCGTATCACAGAACTGGCGACTCTGCTGGGGAATGAATTCTAAAAGTGGAGTAACCTTAGGGTTTAGATCACCTTTACATGCTTATCTTGTTTGCTTTGATTGCTTTACATTTGGTTCTCTTGTTTGGGTTTGAATCCTCCACCCGGATTTTTGGGAAACGTTCATAGGTAAATAGCAATACGTTGTGGAAACTGTGCGGGGTATATCAACATGGTTGAAGCAATAGCTATATTAGTATGACATATTTCTGAGTACCGGTAGCCTTTGAGTCAATCAAAGAGAATACGGGGCCGCTGAGTGATGTCATGAAGCATTAATGAACTCTTAGAACATTTACTTGACCATCTTGGCCTTATTAGGGGTAGTGATATGACCGACTTTGGTGCAGTTCGAAGTTGGTAGATACTAGATACTACACTAATTGAGGGTTGTTTTCTTGGAATATTTCGGTCGCCAGTAAAGTGGCTAAACTGAAACAATGATCACAGAAAATAATCTGGTGATATTGAGCTTCCTTAGAACCCGATTACTATTTATAGGATAGGATGAGCCAACTAACTTCAAGAGGGTACTTACCTATGAAACCCCATGAAAGCCTGAAACTAGGATCTTGTGTGATTTGCTTGTACATATACTTGTGCATACATCATGGACATCATGAGAATCATATACATTTACTAACCATTTCAAGGGTTTGGATCTTCATCTTTGTTCCTGTTTTGTAGGTTATGGAACGACTTCGCAGGAAAATAATTCAAGTCAACCTTGTGAGAATCCCTCCTCAACACAAGGAGCTTGCTTCCAAGATTCCAGAGAATTCTCTCTTCAGTGAAAGACATGGTAGACTCCTCAACTTGTTTAACTCCAACATTGAAGAAGACATGGTGAAAGTCCTCTTCCAGTTCTTTGACCCCTTACACCACTATTTCACATTCCCTGATTACCAACTAGTACCTACTTTGGAGGAATTTTCTCAACTCCTGAGGATTCCTATTCTTCATCAACCACCCTACAACGGTACAGAAAGAGAACCAAAGCCTGAAGATGTTGCTCGAGCCTTACACTTGCAACCATCTGATATCAAAGGTCATTGGGAAACCAAAAGTGGTGTCAAGGGTTTCTTGGCAAGGTTTCTGTTTGAGAAGGCACAAGACTGCTGGAATTCTCTAGATCTGCAAGCCTTTGAGGAGATTGTAGCACTTCTCATCTATGGGTTGGTCTTGTTCCCAAACCCTGATCAGCTTATAGATGTGAATGCTGTCAAGATTTTCATATCTCAGAATCCTGTGCCTACATTGCTTGGGGACATCCTACACTTATTTCACACACGAATAATGAGGAAAAGAGGTGTTCTCATGTGCTGTACTCCTCTTCTAGCAAGGTGGTTTATTTCTCACCTTCCCCAATCAGTTTTGAAGAATGAGCAGGGTTTAAGGTGGTCACAACGGTTAATGACTCTCACACATTCTGATGTCCATTGGTGTTCTCGGTGCAGAGAAAATGTCATCATCATTGATCGTTATGGAGAATTCCCTAATGTCCCACTACTTGGCATTAGGGGAGGCATTACTTACAACCCCTGTTTAGCTCTGATGCAATTTGGGTATGCCCGAAGGGATGGCCCTCATGATATGCTGATTCCTGACTTGGTTTTTTGACTTCGACAATGACGCTTAAGGACTTCGACAAAGGTTTATCCGAGCTTGGAGGATGCCCAACAAAGTGGATAGTAAGACACTGGGGCACAAGAATTCCATCCCCCTTGAGCCTTATCTCAAGTGGGTACGAACTCGCGCCCAGAGTCTTATGATGCCTTACCCTCACATTCTCCCCGTGATCAAAGAGCTTGTTATGGAAGGAGAGGTTCCATACACCCTCCTACATCCAAACATGCCAACATCATTGGAAGAATTGCAAAAGAGTTGGGTACAACTCAAGGAAGAACTGAACACTTTTGAAGCCAACTTCTATGCCAGTGAGAAGAAGGTTTGGGAACTTACCCGCCGACTTCGTGAAGAGGAGACTCTCAACACTTATATCGCGCCAAAAAGGATGCGCAACGTCTTTTTAAATTAAGAAGCTTTGTAATATTTTGCCCATAGGGCTTTTATGTACTAACAAATTTCTTCTTAATATGACGTGTGTTCGTTTTGTTTGCAACAAAATTGAATTTCTGAATCCTTGAATGCATTACATGAATAACATATCATTCATCATATGCATAAACAGGTCTTCACACCAGGTTTCCTTATCTTTCTGCTGTTTATTTCAGCAAGATGGATATAGAGCAGACGATTAAAGATCTGCAAGCACAAAATTTGCAATTCCAGTAACTCCTCATAACCTTGGCAAAGGGTCAAGAGGATCTTAAAGCACTGTTAGAGAAAGAGAAGGAAAAGGAAAAGAAGAAAAAGAAAAGAATTGGTGTGGCCACTATGGGAAGAAGATTTGAGAATCAGGCTAGGAGAGTTCTGGAATTCCCCTCGACGTCTAACAAAGGGGTTGGTAAAGGAAAGGGAGTTGCAATGCCCTCCGAGTCTGAAGCTGAAGAAGAAGAAGAGGAAGAGGATGAAGATTATTCTAAACAGCAGTACCCTTCGGCGGACGATAAGTATAAGAATCTAGAGGACCGGCTGGCAGCCATGGAGGTACAAAGGGTACCCAGGTTAGACTTCGAAGAACTAGGGTTGGTTGTTGGGATCGTCATTCCCCCCAAGTTCAAAGTGCCTACATTTTCTAAATACGACGGTTTGTCCTGTCCGAAGATGCATCTGCGGTCCTACGTCAGAAAGATCCAACCCCACTCTTCTGATAAAGATCCGTGGGTCCACTTTTTTCAAGATAGTTTGTCGGGTACGCAATTGGACTGGTTCTATCAACTTGAGAGATCTGATGTTCATAACTGGGAAGATTTGGCTACTGCTTTCTACCGACAATACCAATATAATGCAGATTTAGCGCCTACTCGTACTCAACTACAGAGTATGGGTATGGCCTCTAATGAGGGATTTATGGAGTATGCCCATAAGTGGCGGGATTTGGCTGGAAGGGTGCAGCCACCATTGTCGGATAGAGAGCTGGTTGACATGTTTTTGGTGACTCTGTCAGGTCCATTCTTCAATCACTTGATCGAGAGCTCATTTGCAGGGTTCACTGATTTAATTCTGACCGGTGAAAGGGTCGAAGCTGGTATTAAGAGTGGTAAAATTCAGAAGGATGCCTCCATTTACATTGCTATCAAGAAGACCTTCCCAGCCAAGAAGGAAGTTTCTGTTGTTCACACCTAGAGAAATCAAGGGAGAATGGAGCGCCGACCAGCGGTAGGGGCTGTGATGATCCAGAACTCCTCAACCGATCAACCTCGAAGCAGTCAGCCCAGAGCTAACCAACAAAGGTTGGAAAGGCCACAACGACAATTCACCCGGATCAATATGACACCGGCTCAGGTCCTCCCTCACTTGTTAAAGTTAAACCTTACCAATTTGAACGAAGCGCCGAAAAACCCAAATACCTCTTCTCCCTATTATCATTCAAATGCAAAATGTGCATATCATTCGGACAGTGTAGGGCATGACACCAACAACTGTTGGGCACTTAAAAACAAGATCCATGATTTGATAGATGCCAAGTAGGTGGAATTTGATGCTCCCAAAAAACCTAATGTGATATCCGCTCCTATGCCAAAACATGGTCGTAATGTCCATGCTATTATGCAAAATCTTCATGTTACCACTGTTGATTACTTAATGACTCCATTGCGAGTGATCAAGATGAATCTGTTGAAAGTCGGGATTTTCCCGGGATGTGAAAAAGATTATTACTTCTATTCAACCTTGCAATCCGACTGTCCGCTATTGAAGTCAGGCATTCAATGCTTGATGGATACTCAAGAGATCCTCTTTCAGAAAACTCTTGTTGCTACTATCACTCATGTTAATCCTATTACTCCAATCAATGATGTTTATATAATCACCATTTCCGACAATCATTCCAAGACCTGCAAAAGGCCTGTTAAGATTACACCTGATCCAAAGTTTATACCGCTGAAGATTACTATGCTGGGGCCTATCACATATAAGTCCAACAAGATAATACCGTGGAATTATGGAGGAGAGATCTTCTATCACGGTGTGAAACAGATCGAATCAGTTGAAGAAAATTCCGATGAAGAAACTCCTGACATAGGGAATATTGCAGGAACAAGTAAGATAACTCGTAGCGGAAGAATCTTCTCTCCGGAGATTGCTCCTCCACGGGAAGTATTCGGACCCTCAAGTGCTCCTGTGCCTGTCGAGATATATGTGTGAAGTCTGGTTATTGAAGTAATTGTTACTCCCGAGGTTGCACCCTCTGCTGTTACTGCTGAGAAAGGTAATGGGATCCAAGAAGCGCCCGTCAAGATGAGGGCTCAGACTTTGGTTATCCCCGAGACCACCCAAAAGGAGATGGAGGAGATTTTAAAGATAATTAAGAAGAGCGACTATGATGTTGTAGAGCAGTTAGGGAAAACCCCTTCAAAAAACTTTATGCTGGCTCTATTGCACTGCTCCGAGGCTCATGCCAAAGCCTTGATCAAATTTCTGAAGACAGCACACGTGCCTCAAGAAACTTCTGCGGATCAGTTTGAAAAGTGCGTGGCTAGCCTTACAGCCGATAATGGTCTGGGCTTTTCTGATGCCGATCTAACGTCCAAGGGAAGAAAGCATAATGATGCGCTGCATGTTTCGGTAGAATGCAGGGGGACCACACTTGCTCATGTTCTGGTTGATACCGACTCATCTTTAAATGTCCTACAAAAGAAAGCATTGGACAGATTGGACTGTGAAGGTTTGGCCCTAAAACCCAGTAATATCATTGTTAGAGCCTTCGACGGTTCTAAGCGGATGGTTCATGGAGAAGTGGACATTCCAATTAAGGTGGGTACGGAAATTTTCAACTCTACATTTTATGTGATGGACATCCGTCCTTCATATTCATGCTTTTTGGGAAGGCCATGGATCCATAACGCTGGGGCAGTCACTTCTTCTCTACACCAGATGCTCAAATACCCAGTTCAGGGTAAAATCATAACAGTTCATGGTGAGGAGGAGTATATGATAAGCCACCTTAACTCTCTCTGCTACGTGGAGTTAGATGGTGAATTCATAGAAACACCTTTCCAACACTTTGAAGAGGTTTCTCCTGAGGTTGCGGTAGCCAAGACAATGACTGATGTGCCCATCATTAAAAAACATGTGTCCCGGATGTCATCCCTTAAAGATGCAGAGGCTGTAGTTAAGGAAGGAGGAAGCACAGTATGGGGTCAACTGCCAGATTTTCCTTACAAGACAGATAAGTTCGAATTGGGTTTCACTGCTGCTAGCCAGAAAGCTATGTTTCGCTCCCGGGCTGGAGGACCACCACTGAAAATTACTCATCACGGAATTCATGCTTTAGAAGATGATGAAGAAGGAGGCAATTTTGAAGATTGGATTTTTCCAACCATTGAAGGAGGACTGAACAACTGGGAGGCGAAAGACTTCGTCCCCATTACGTTCATCAATCAGTAATTTATCTTTTGAACATTTATGTTGGTCTGTAATAACTTTTAAACAATTCGTACACTCTTTTGCCTTGTGCCTTTCCCGGGGTACATAGGTCCATTTGTAAGGGTTTTGATTCTTCATTTTCATATGCCATTTTTAATGAATCATAGACGTTTTCATCTATAAACTTTTGTGTTCATTTTCTTTCCTTTTACATTTTATTTTATTTAAGGATGACTATCCCTTACACACACCCATATTCACAAAATGTAGGTACCCATCCACTCCGGATTCCATGGGTAACAATTCTGCTGTGGCCTTCGGCAACTCTGAAGATTTGGCCAATCATGCCGAGTACGAAGGTGATGAAGACTGTGAAATGCCTGGAGAGTTGGCTAGACTTTTTCAACAAGAAGAAAGGGCTATTCTTCCCCATGAAGAGTTGTTAGAGACTATCAATTTGGGTACTGCCAAAGACAGAAAAGAGGTTAAAGTGGGTGCTAACCTGGAGCCAAGTGTCAAAGAGCGCTTAGTTCAGCTGTTGAATGAGTTTGTTGAGATCTTCCACTACTAAAAAAAAGACATTTGAGAAAAGGTTTTTACATCGGGTATCAAAATATATGATGTAAAAAATACAATTAACAAACTTTTTACATCAGGTATTTATTTGCAATGATATAAAAAAATGAAAAAAAATATATTTCGCTACCTATTACATCGGGCAAACGCATCCACCGATGTAAAAAGTTTTCAGAAAAAATACGGTGGCATTTTTGTAAATAAGAAACAAGGTAGTAGAAATATTAATAAAAAACATGCAACATATTACATCGGTTGACTAAAAACCGATGTAATATCTTCACAACAGATATTAATATAAAAAATAAATTAAAGAAAAAAAAGTCAGAAAAAAAAGCTTGCCAACCCTTACATCGGGTATTACAATGCACCGATGTAATAGCTTGTCAACCCTTACATCGGGTATTACAATGCACCGATGTAATAGGTGCATTGTAAAAAAAAAGTCAGAAAAAAAATCTTGCCAACCCTTACATCGGGTATTACAATGCACCAATGTAATAGCTTGCCAACCCTTACATCGGGTATTACAATGCACCAATGTAATAGGTGCCAAACCCTTATTTCCCAAACAGTAGAAAAATTACAACTCCATCGTTATTCTTACACCACTCCATCGCGCCGCGCCCTGTTCTGAAAAACCGTCTTCCTCAACCTCGCTTCCGATTCCGATTCTGCATGCCTGCCCGATTCCGATTGCCAACCGTCTTCATCACCATCACCGCGACTGCCTTATAACACCGCCACCAACACCGAGTTCACTGCACGACACCCGCGATCCGCCTTCTAACCACCGGCCAAGAAGTCGCTGCGGTAAAACCCCTTTTTGGTAATATTCTTTGACCGTCGTTTCGGTCGCCGTTTCCGGTCTTCCTCTTCGATCGCTGTTTATGGATCTTATGTTAAGTTTATTGTTGTTGGTGGTGTTAGGTTCATTAGTAATCTTGTTGATATAGAGGATCGTTTGGATGTTGAAATCTATGACCCTCTTTTGGGTTCTTGGGATTTAGCTCCTCCTCTTCCTGCTGATTTCAGATCTGGAAACTCTTCATCTTCACTCTTCTCAGCTTTGTTCGAAGGGAAGTTCTATGTTTTTGGGATATATTCATGTTTTGTTTCTTCCTTTGATTTGAAACTCGGTGTTAGGAGTGATGTTAGGGTTGTTAGGCCTTCTGGGGTTGTGTTTTCTTTCTTGATTTCTTGTAGGGAAAGTCTTGTTTTGGCTGGGGTTTGTAATTCCTCAAGTGGGTCTAGCTTCACTTTGTGGGAGGTTGATGAGATGAGTATGGAGATTTGTGAGATTTCTGTTATGCCTCATGATTTTCTTTGTGGTTTATTTGATGGTGATGAGGATGATAGATTTTCTAGCTTGAAGTGTGTTGGATTGGGTGATCTTATATATGTTTTCAATGAGGATTATCATAGGATGTACCCGACTTGTGTTTGCGAGATTCGCCGGTGTCATGGCGGGGAGAAGAGTGAGTGTTATTGGAGGAGAGTGCCTTAATTGCCATCACTGATGAATAGGTTTCACAAAGTTGTTAGCTTTTGTTCAGGTGTTTCATTGTATAGCATTCTGGGTGAAGGTCAACACCATGGACTTCATTGAGCTTTCCGCGGCTATGCGAGGTATCCACTCGTAATCTGTTGTGAATGTGACTGTGTATGTATAAATTGCTATCACAATTATGTTATGTTTTCAATGTGTGATTGTGTGTGTATAGTTTGAAGAGTTAGCATAGTAGTTATATGCTTAGATGGAAGCTCTTGTAGCAACTGGGCTATACTTCATACTTAGCTTTCAATGTAAATAGATTACAATACACTACTTTCATTTTACAATATTCATTAATCTAACAACAATGTTATTTTTTGATTCAATTCAACAGCAAAAACAAAGGAAATAATCAGTGCCAAAAGAAGGTCCGGTTAGAAGAATGATTTGCACGCTGAAGAAGTTAATACATAGGTGCTGTTGCTGCACAACTGCACCTAAGGCATATGCATCATTCATAATAAGATAAGAGTAGCTCTAATAAATACTGTGTAATAATTTGATAACTATCTAATTTTATGAATTTGATAACTATATAATTTGATAACTATATAATTTCCACCATGTCCTATTATTAACCATTGCATCTATTCTTCTCTCTTTTGTACTATTAATTTTTTGTTAGTGTGATAATCCACTATTAAATTGGAAAAGTAGAGAAGGCTGAATCAAATGTATTGTTTAGCTATCATAAAGCATGGATCAATCCTTGACTTTCTCTTCCTTTTTATCGATTTGATATTGCCAATTGTGTGGTCTTTAATAATTTCAAATGTAAATATAGTGGACCACATTAATGTGGATTATTCAATGGACCAGTTAGCCCTTGAACGGGTTAAAGTTGAATTTTTAACGGAGAATTTTTTTTCTTTCAACGGGCTGTTATTAAATATTTTTTTTAAAGTTGAACCTATGAATGTATTGGTGTTGGTAAAAATGCTACACATTTCAAGAGTTATATAGCATCTCTTGCTCGACAGTATTGTAGTATTGTGAAAAATGATTGGAAAGAAGTAGATGAAGGCGTAAAAGATGCTATTTGGACTGATATTCAGGTATTTTAAATACAATAGTTTATTATATTTTACAATCATATACTAATTAACAACATATGACATATACTATATTTGTAGGCTCATTTTACTATTCCAGAATGTAAAGATCCAAAGAAGGATAGGTTGAAGAAAATTATTACAAAGTAAGTTTATCTTTCATGTGACTTTCATTGACAACTAATAGTTATGTAATTTTTCATCGGCGAATAAATTTAGCTATGTGATGTTTATCTTTCTGTATTAGTTCTTTTGGGATTCATCAAATGGAAAATGGAAATAGAAAAAAGGCTACATGGCTTCATCCCAATGTAAGTTTCATGTAAATTGTAATTATATAGTTAAATTTATGATAAGTATTCACTAATTATGTCATTCAATTGTAGACAAGGCAACAACATAACTCTAATGATTATGGATACTATGTGATGAAAAATATGTTGGATATTGTCTCTGCTAATATAACCGAGAATTGGATGCAGGTACTAAAAATAACTTTACTTTGTTATTTACTTTTTATTTTTCGACTTAATATGAATTTTTAAAAATTAACTCTATATTGTTATATTTATGTATTATAGGTATTTGATGACCCAACAGAATTAACACAAGATGATTTGTATGATTTGCGACTTCGTTGGGCAAAATGTTTCTTTGAGTTACATGAAAATTAAGTTTATCTTGGTGAGTTTTATAGAATTGTATAAGTTGTGGTTTTTGCACAATACATATGGCTTTTGCACATTTATTGAGTTTCTTGATTTTTTTGCTGATGTTAATTGTTATTATTTATTGTCAGGCAATCTGATTTTGGTGTTGTCTACCGAAGATTTTATATTGGTAATTTAAGTTTGGAAACTTATAAATAGTTGAATATTTTTGTATATTTTGTGAATAATATGTAATTGTAAGTTTTGAAAAAAGACTTATAAATAGTTGAATATTGTTGTATATTTTGTGAAGAATTTGTAATTGTAAGTTTGTTTGTTGTAATACAATATAAGTTTGCAATATAATTGTTCAATTTGTAAGTTTGTTGTGAAAAATATGAAAACATCGACCTAGATGTGATATATGTGATGTTGGAAAGCTATGAAATCTATATAGCGACATAAATATAGTCTGTGTGATATTGGAAAAATATGAAAAAATGGGTACAGATTATATTTGTACAGGGAAACATCCAGAAAATAAATAATCTATTCCAAAAAAATTTCATACATTTTACATCGGTTATTAGTAAAAACTGATTTAAAAACTTTCAAAAAGGGACTTTTTACATCGGTTGGGGATAATAACCGATGTAAAAAGTCGCGTCACTGGGGACTTTTTACATCGGGTATTACTTCCAACCGATGTAAAAAACTGAATCAATTTTTTTTAAAATGTGCATAATAACTGTTTCTTACATCGGTTCATATATTATAACCGATGTAAAAAATTGACTTTTTACATCGGGTATTACTTCCAACCGATGTAAAAAACTGGATCAATTTTTTAAAAAATATGCATAATAACAGGTTATTACATCGGTTCTGATATTATAACCGATGTAAAAAAGGGACTTTTTACATCGGTCCCAGAACCGATGTAAAAAGTCCCTGATTTACTATATCGTCTAACTTTACATCGGACCCAAAACCGATGTAAAAGTCAGTTTCACCTGATGTAAAAAGTCATTTCTGCACTAGTGTTATCCTGGTCCTATGAAGATATACCGGGACTGGATACAGATATTGTGGTTCACCGTCTCCCTACAAGAGAAGACTGTCCACCAATCAAACAGAAAGTCCGCTGAATGAGGCCCGACATGTCCGAAAAGATCAAAGCTCAAGTGATGAAGCAGTTCAATGTTGGTTTTCTGGATGTTACTTCCTATCCACAATGGGTTGCTAACATTGTTCCCGTTCCTAAGAAGGACGGCAAAGTCATAATATGTGTGGACAACAAAGATTTAAACAGGGCTAACCCTAAAGATGATTTTCCACTACCACACATTGATATCTTGGTTGACAACACAGCTCAACACAAGGTATTCTCTTTCATGGATGGATTTTCAGGGTACAACCAGATCAAAATGGCCCTCGAAGACATGGAGAAGACTACTTTTGTTACACAGTGGGGTACCTTCTGCTATAAGGTGATGCCATTCGGACTGAAGAATGTTGGGGCAACCTATCAGCGGGCCATGGTAGCTTTGTTTCATGACATGATACATCATGAAATTGAAGTCTACGTAGACGACATGTTAGCCCGTTCACAAACAGAAGAAGAACACCTCGACAATCTGCAAAAGCTGTTTGTCAGGTTAAAGGAATACAAACTCAGACTGAACCCTAGCAAGTGCACTTTCGGAGTCAGGTCCGGTAAACTTTTGGGATTTATCGTCAGTAACAAGGGCATTGAAATTGATTCAGCCAAAGTCAAAGCTATACAAGAAATGCCCGCCCCTCGCACTGAGAAGGAGATCAAAGGTTTCTTAGGACGCTTAAACTACATTTCAAGGTTCATCTCTCACCTGACATCTATTTGTGAGCTAATCTTCAAGCTGTTGAAGAAAGATCAGGTGGTTGAATAGAACAATGACTGTCAAGTTGCTTTCGATAATATCAAGGAGTATTTGCTGGAACCTCCTATCTTGATGCCACCCATCGAAGGAAGGCCTTTAATCATGTACCTGACTGTTTTGGATAATTCAATGGGGTGCGTACTGGGCCAACATGACGAGTCTGGCCGAAAAGAGCATGCCATTTATTACCTTAGCAAAAAGTTTAACGACTGTGAGACCCGCTACTCACTACTCGAGAAAACTTGCTGCGCTTTGGTATGGGCTGCTCGCCGGCTAAGGCCGTATATGTTGACACATACCACTTTGCTGATTTCCAAAATGGATCTGATCAAGTACATCTTCGAGAAGCTTGCTTTATCCAGAAGAATCGCTAGATGGCAGATGATCCTGACTGAGTATGATATCCAGTATACAACCCAAAAAGCTATAAAGGGGAGTGTATTAGCTGACCATCTAGCTCATCAAGCCGTCGAAGATTACCAATCTATGAGTTTCAACTTCCCTGACGAGGATATTATGACATTGAACAACATTAAAGGTAACCGACCGTATGACGTACCTGAACAAGGATCCCGATGGACCCTGTACTTTGATGGTGCTTCAAATGCACTTGGCAACGGTATCGGTGTAATACTTATCTCTCCAGAAGGTTGCCATACACCTTTCACTGCTAGACTCTACTTCAGCTGCACCAACAACATGGCCGAGTATGAAGCTTGTATCTTTGGTCTCAAGGATGCTATTGACTTAGGAATCAAATCTTTGGTTGTATTTGGGGACTCAACTTTGGTTATCAGTCAGATCAAAGGAGAGTGGGATACTAAACACCCTAACCTCATCACTTACAAAGAACATGTCCTGACATTGTTACCACATTTCGAGCAGATTACCTTCGAGCACTTCCCGCGAGAAGAGAATCAGCTAGCAGATGCGCTAGCTACAATGTCATCCATGTTTAAACTTAACTGGGACAATGGGGAACCTCAAATCACCATCGAACGAATGGATGAACCTGCACATTGTCACGAGATTAATACCGAAGAAGTAGTGGACCGACAGTGGTTCCATGACGTCAAAAGGTATCTCGAGGCACAAGAATACCCTGAAGGAGCTTCAGTCAACGATAAAAAGTTCTTAAGGAGTTTTGCAACCAAGTTCTTTCTGAGCAATGGTATCCTATACAAGCGCAATCTTGATTGTGTCCTACTCTGTTGTGTGGACAAGGTTGAAGCTGAACAAATCATGACTGAACTGCATAGTGGCACATTTGGCACCCATTTGAGCGGACATACGATGGCTAAGAAGATTCTAAGGGCAGGCTACTACTGGTCTACCATGGAAGCTGACTGTCATCAATTTTCCCGTACTTGTCACAAATGCCAACTCTATGCTGACAAGGTACATATTCCTCTAGTTCCTCTCAATGTCCTTAC